GATTAAGATGATTAAGATTACTATCCTAATTCAAATTGTCATCTAAAAATTCCATATTTCCTACTCCATTGGTGGAAATAAAACTGTAAACCATAGCAGAATCTTTAGCTTGTTATATAGTTGGCGTCAAATGTAGTGTTTTCTCTATATGAAGTAAGCGCACACCAGAACTTCCGAAAAAGTTGCTTATATTATTGTTAAGGAATATTACGTCACTTTATCAAGTCTGGTGCAGTTTAGTGTTATTCTGTTATGAATAATATCGGCCGTTCCCGGTTGCTGTCAGTGGTATTTGCATAGTAATTGCCATGGGTTTTACATTCTCAGCAATGTGTTCAGCTTTTAATTCAGGAGCAGTAAGTAAAGGATTATGTTTGATTTTCCAGACAAAGTGGGTATTCAATATTAGATTGAAGGCTTCAGGGCATCTCCTAGTCGAGCAGTCACGACTAGTGTCTTCTTACTTGTTATAAAAAGCTTTTTAATTTATAATTCATTTAAAAATATATAAATATATATATGAATAATTCATACTTTCTTGTGTGTGTATACAAATTCTATCTTATTCTGCGCAAGGAGCGGGGAATAATTTGTAAAGGTCGAAAATACATAATGTATTAGTATTTTAGTAAACTACTATATGTATGTATATTTTCGTTAGAATTGGAATTTATCACAAAATTTTTTGTGATATTTTTCCACTGCTTTGAATATTGATTTGATTTAGTACGCTTGCTGGCTCTTAATGCTTGATTAAATCGTAATTCAATCTACCTAATTGGAGAGTGCTCTCTCCAACTATTAGATAACTTATGCAAAGCTTTTAAGTTAGAATTTATTAACTTGTCCTTTTTACAAATCGCAGCCTGGGGCTTTTTCGAGTTATTTCTCCATTTATCTTCGTTCAATGGAAAACTTAGCCTGACCAAGGTTGCTTTGCACTTAATGAATACAAATGCAAAATTGTCATTCATTCAGCTATTCAAAGTGGATACTTTTGGAGTGCACTGCATATGGACATCGGTAGCTCGAAAGGACTTTCACAAAACGTGCTCAAAACTTAAATATTTAAAAGTTGAATGAAAAAGTTCACAGGAATCATATTGAATTCGGATTTGGATTTAAACGTCTATATTAAAAAGGAAATCAAGCAAATTTCAATAAGTATCAGAATATCAAAGGAAATCTTATACAAAGGGAATCTTATTAACCCTGGAACATGCAAAACAGGTTGTTAACAGTTACAAAATATCTTTTTTCTTCATTGGTGTTGAAATGTACTATTTGCAGAATGTAATAAAACCCTACTATTTTTTAAGAAATATTGCTTTGGCTTAAACATCATTGTATACAGACAGAAATTATATGCACTTCTTCTTCTTCTCCGCCAAACATTTAACAAATTCCGTGCATATATGGGTTTGCTCAATGGCTTAGCAGCTGTGGGGGAAGCTCGATTTTCCATGGAAACTCTTTGAGATGCTTGCGTACAGCTGCCACAGGGAACGTGTATCCTCTGAATTAAACACAGCATATTACAAAGGCTCTTAACAATTTGTAAGCTGCGAAAAGCAATCAACAACACCCTCAATTTTTTTCTTCCAGTGTTAATGCTCACAAATTGCTTGTTTTGATAACTTTGGACGATAAACCCTATTTACAGCTAGATATGCACGGATTGTTATTTTGTTTGCTGCCGAAAACACATTACGCGTAATAGGATTTTGTGGTATGAAATAGAGAGCGAGCGAGAGAGAGAGGAAGAGACGCGTACAGCCAAGACATGGAAAATATTCCATTGAAATGCCGTTTAATGGTAAGAAAGCACAAAATAACAATTTGCATAATATTATTTTCGGCGGGTGTTATTTTTTTGTGCCGATGTATTGAGCTTTTTAAGTTATTGTTCGCCCAGTCAAATGAGTATATTAGTTTTGCCCATCTGTCCACATAAACTCATTTCAATTTGTTGCGATTGAATGAAGAGTTTCCAATTTGTAGTTAATGTACGAGTACCCATTTTATATAGCTATATTAAGTGGAAGCATGGTAAATCGATATAAAGGAAGAGGAACAAATTTTGAAGAAAGCATCGCCAATCTATGTAAGTAAATCTATTTTCTGCAGACAGACCTAAAGTATGTATAATGAAGGAATTCGATTTTTATGAATATGATCACGTATAATGTAGTCGGTTACACCCGACCTATTATTATTTAACTTTTCCCACTCTTTCACTTGCCTACTTCATTGCCATGCCAGCTAAAGCTTCAAACGCAAATTCAGTTGAGAGCAATGACTTTACCGCACCGATATCACATGCCGTTGCCTCCAGCAACCGACATCGGCATTCAACAGTCGACATTTGCGGATTCAAATTGGCACAACTGTCAATGCTTGAGCTCTGAATATGATTGGCCAGTTGGAAAAGTAGTAGGCTGAAGGCAATTAGTTTTATTGCTTGCAACTTAAAAATCGAAGAAAAGAAGTTAATTAGGTCTTAACTTAAGCTGAGATATATGACAATCAAGCCGAGAGAATTCGAATTGGTTTACTTAAAATTTGAATAATAAGCTAATTATTTCTTTATTTACATTATATCTAAATTACTTCCAAAATCATGTGAAATGTAACGAATTTAAAAGTTAAGAAAAAGCTAAAAAAAAAAAGAATATTCTACTTTTGTATGCCTTCCATTTAAAGGAGACACTGATTTGACATCAAAGTTTAACAAAGGTTGAGCACGTAATAAAAGACGTACATATGACTATTCGACATATACATGTGTAATTCGATACATGTTCGATTGAAATTATACTTTCGTTTCTCTTCTTTACGATACAAATGTCATGTCACTGTCAAGAGCAAAACTCATCTCAATCTATTCACTTTCATATGAATTTTTTTTATCAAATCACATTCATGGTGCAGATATTTAAAAATCCATTTATACTTCGTTGAGTGTGAGTAAAGAAGGTATGCTGGAACTGCACAGAGTTCACTGGTATCATTGGTACATGTATATAACAAAAA